CTCTCTCTCTCTCTCTCTCTCGTCTAGCTCAGCCACGTCACGTCCGTCACCCTCGGGTCCTCTCGTCTTGCATCTCGCAACACATCTCCAGCCGTGCGGCGAGCTCAACACGGCATTGCGTCTACCACTCGCGCCCGATGAGGAACGACTACGTCCGTGGCTACGCCCTCTGGCTCTGCTCTCCGCGTCCTCGTTCTTTCAGCTGACATTTTTCTTTCTCCTTGTGCTCTTCAAAATTGCCTGCCCGCCATCCTCGATCCGTGTCTCTGGTTTCGCAGCGCTCGATGACCCCAACAAGGTGATCAAGGTCCTTGCCTCGGACGGCAAGACCGCCGAGCAGCGAGAAATCGCCTACACCAACTGCAAGGTCATCGGCAACGGAAGCTTCGGTGTCGTCTTCCAGGCAAAACTCGTGTCGCCCTCGGGCTCCGACGCCACCGAAGGCTCCAGCAAAGACAGCGATGAGGTCGCCATCAAAAAGGTTCTTCAGGACAAGCGCTTCAAGAACCGCGAGCTCCAGATCATGCGCATCGTCAAACACCCCAACGTCGTCGACCTCAAGGCCTTCTTCTACTCCAACGGCGACAAGAAGGACGAAGTCTTCCTCAACCTCGTCCTCGAGTACGTCCCAGAGACCGTCTACCGTGCCTCGCGCCACTACGCCAAGCTCAAGCAGACCATGCCCATGCTCCTCATCAAGCTCTACATGTACCAGTTGCTACGAAGTCTCGCCTACATCCACTCCATCGGCATCTGCCACCGCGACATCAAGCCGCAGAACCTGCTGCTCGACCCCTCTTCCGGCATCCTCAAGCTCTGCGACTTTGGCTCCGCCAAGATCCTCATCGCCGGCGAGCCCAACGTCAGCTACATCTGCTCCAGGTACTACCGAGCTCCCGAGCTCATCTTTGGCGCCACCAATTACACCACCAACATCGACATCTGGTCCACAGGCTGCGTCATGGCCGAGCTCATGCAGGGGCAACCGCTCTTCCCCGGCGAGAGCGGCATCGATCAGCTCGTCGAGATCATCAAGGTGCTCGGCACGCCCTCGCGCGAGCAGATCAAGACCATGAACCCCAACTACATGGAGCACAAGTTCCCCCAGATCCGACCGCATCCCTTCTCCAAGGTCTTCCGTCCGCGCACGCCGCCCGACGCCATCGACCTCATCTCGCGACTGCTCGAGTACACGCCCAGCGCGCGTCTCACCGCCGTCGAGGCGCTCTGCCACCCCTTCTTCGACGAGCTCCGCACGGGCGAGATCCGCATGCCCAACGGCCGCGAGGTGCCCGCGCTCTTCAACTGGACCAAGGAGGAGCTTTCCATCCGACCCGACCTCATCTCGCGGCTCGTGCCCCAACACGCCGAGGCCGAGCTCCTCTCGCGCGGTATCGATGTGCACAACTTCCAGCCCGTCCCGCTCGAGTCGCTCAAGGTCACCCTCGACTAAGCACCGGGTGCCCGGCCGGCAGCGCCACCGATCCGAGTCGAAGAAAATCAGGGCAGATCGCGGTGTCGTCCCGACATCGATGGGAGCGGATCAAGCTTGCGGCGATCTTTCCCTGGATGGCGTCGCGGTCGAGAGTGCTTGGAGTTGGAAGCTGTGGTCGAGTCACGGTCACGGCCATCCTCGAGCCCTTCGACGCAGACGCTATCTGTGGGGGATGATCTTGCCGTACAGATGGTCTGCAGCCACGATCTCTTTCTCCGCGTCAAGAGGACGGCAAGGAGAACACGGCGATTCTTGAACGGAGGAGTTCCACCATACCATTCGCCTCCGATCGAGCGTGTGCTGCTGCCGGTTTCACCACTGGAAGGAATTCGTTACCACCAAAAACCGAGACTTGATCCGCATCCACCCTCTTTCCCGCTCGGCTTGCCTTGCGCAGTGCTCGCGACCTTCATCCTTGGTCAACCTCATCCACTATCAGCCCCAACATGTACATATGATCCGTAGCAATCCCCCTTTCCTTTGCCTCCGCAGTCTTTTTCGAGCCCGGCGCGACATTGCAACCCCTCCGCAACCCATGTCTTTCTTCATGTCGCTCGCTATCCTCTCCCCATCTTCACTTCCTCTCTCCCCTTTTCAAGAATGTCTTTTGGTGCTGTAGCTTGTAGGCTCTCATCCGCACGTATGCCATAGTCGTTGGTCTTTTCTTGCGCTGGTGTCATCATTGTAGCGATGGGTGAAGTTGCAGGACAGAATCGCGGTGGGTATACGTGGTGTGAAGGGCATCAGGTGAAAGTAGCGACACTGTCTGGATGGTAAGGATGTTTGACGAGATCCTGGAAGAGGTCGGCGGGGATATCGCGGGCTAGGGTGACGGTGACGTTGATGATCTTGCGAGCGTCGAGCGGGGGGAGGTTGCGAAGAAGCTTCATGGGGCTGACGGATTCGAGCAGGTCGGCACGCATGATGTGCAGCTGTGCAACGATGCACAGCACGTTGAAATGCACACCAAACGCAAGCAGAAAGTCCCACAGCTGCAGCACCTCGGGAAGAGGCGGTGTGCAGGCACACAGCGTCATCACCGACGGGAACGCGTAGATCTCTGCCGACAAGTTCTTGCCCCGCAAGTGGTGGTACAGCGGCGCATCCAGCAGCTCAAGACATCGATCCAATAGCTGCCCAAAGCAGGAAATGGCAAAGTCAAAAGCGTTAGTAAACACCGCGAGCACATCGAGCTTGCGAGGACGAAGGGCGGCTTACCTGAAGTCCACGATGGACGCCAGAGAGAGTGGGTTGAACATAAAGCGGGCAACAGTACTCGATGAAGCGACTGAAGCATCGGAATGCCTCGACCTCGCTCTCGAGCGTGTACAGGAACGGGGCAGCGAGCACGTTCATTCCCTGCACGTAGCTGAACTCGTACACATCTGCGTCTGCATCAGCCTCATCGGCGCTGTCGTCGGAGCGGTTGTGCTTCCAGACGAATGCATCGAGTAACCGGATGAGCTTTTCTTCCTTGACGCGTTCCTTGAAGCCCTGGTCGGTGGCGAGCGTGCGAAAGGTGTCGTTGCGGATCTTGTCGTGCGATGGCGACTTGCCCTTGGCTACGAGCGAGAGGTATTCGGCCACGTCCAGATCGCGGATATCCAGCAGCAGCTTCCACACCACACTGCGGTACGTCGTTCCCGTCGGCGTCAGCACCGAGTCCGGCGGCAGAGGGGTGGTGACGATCTTGTGACGGATGCGCGAGACCGGGTCAGTCGGAGACGACGGCGGCGACGATGCAGCCGCATCCGAAGCGTCCAGAAGCCGGCGTGAAGCCTGCGTACGTCCGCCACGACCTCGTGGTGCCCCACCGCGTCCGCGCACTTGCTGCTGACGAGTCGATACGGATGAATCGGCCGTGTTGGCGCGCTTGATGCTCGCGCGAGTGGATGCAGAAGACGACGAAGCGGCATTGGGCTGCAAGGGAGCGAAGAGCGCCTTCCATTCTCGAGCGCTCGTGCCAGCCACATCTTCCTGGTCGCTCCGACTCAGACCACTGTCCAGTGTGTTCGGCGCCGAGAACGGCGACCTGTCCGCCTCGGTCATGTCGACGATCGCCGGTACAAAGCGTCGAGTGCGGAAGCGGTGATTGGAGGTCTAGAGTCAACGCAGCTAAAGCGCGCAATGCACACCTGGACCCTGAACACGCGCCGCCCCGATCCGCCTCAAACCAACACCCGCGCCTGTTTCATGCGCCTCACGCGCGTCTCGCAGATTTCGCTCCGCTCAGCATCCTCGATCCCCTCTTCCCGTTCGTCTCTTCAACAGAGGGGACCACCGTAGCTCCGCAGCGCCATTGCGAAGTCGTACATGTGCTGGTATTGTTCAGTAAGAGCTGAGTAAAAGTACAGTGAGATGCGGGATGCGGGATGCAAACGGAAATGCTGCAGTGTCGACTGACTGGCGTGATGTAGCTGCGGACCGACCTAGTAATATCAGAGAGATTGCGGGTTGAGATGCTGCTGAAAGGATCACACAAAGACCGCCCATGCTGAGAACTTGCTGCCGGGCTCTTTGGAACACTTCTGCCCGCAGCCCTGAACAGGACATTCGAAGCGCTTGGGTTTCTTTGCCTTCTTTGGAGTGGTTGGCTTGGCGGCGGCTGTGCTGGCTCGAGTCCGCGCGGATGTTCTGGCCGACTTCGATCGAGGCTCTTCCTCTGGGGGGTCAACCGCCTTGGCTTTGCCCTTTCCGCGGACGTCCCCGTCGTCGCCGCCATCTGCAGACTCCTTCTCGATCCCACTGAGACGGTCGATGCATCGGCCGTCGATGACATGACCGCACGGCAGCACCCAAATCCTTTGGTCCTCGTTTGCGCCTGTCACCAACGCATGGCGGCAGCCTGCGCAGATGGGTGTAGTATCGGGTAAGGGCCCGGTGACGATCGCCTTGTCGTCAAAGTACGTGTCGAGGTCGACGGGCGGCTCGATGATCGAATGCGAGAAGCCGGGCTGCACTTCGTGCGGATGTGTCCAAGTGGGATCGTACTTCTGCGGCACCTTGCGTTCCGCGCTCTGCGGGTGCGAAGCAGGGCCGCTCGAATGGAGTCCTCGCAGCAGGGAGCCGATCATCTCCATGCCGCCAAAGGTGAGGGATGCGAAAGGCCAATCTCCACCCAGCCGGGAGACAAGGTTTGCGGTGTTGGCACTGAGCCCAGACGTTCTCCTCGCCGTGGTCGTGCTGGTCGACGGGATTGCTGCGCGTTGCTGTGGTAGGAGCGGATGGCGCGCCGTCGGTGAGGAGCCGAGGATGCCAAAGCCTTGCGGGATGCGCGAGCTGTGGCTGTGAGGCCCTCTGCCTATCGCGTCGTGGAAGCGGAGGGATGAGGCTGATGTCGACTGCGCTGGACGACTCGAAGAGGCTGGCGTGCCGGTCGATAGGGAGCGGAAGAGCGGGACGTTGGTCCGCGCTTGCTCGGACTGGCCTACGATGGTGAAGCTACGGTCTTCGGCGTCGGACTCGTCATCGCTAGCGACGACGATGGGTTCAGGGCGGGGACGGGACGAGCCAGGGACGATACGCTCGCGCGTCCGTGCTGCGCTGCTTGGGTTGCTTGATGAGGCAGATGGGCCCGGATCTGCAGAGTTGGTGGAATGTGGACGGCTGTTGGGCCAGTGCGACCAGTCGAAGATGTGAGTGTCAGTCGAGGTAGGTGTAGGTCTTGAGGAATTCGTTATAGGCCTTGAGGTTGGTGTTGGTCTGGGGCGCAAGGGTGCCGGTGGCGACTCTTCGGTCAGGTCGATGACGGTGCTAGAGAACCGACTCATGGTAGAAATGGAAGGCGGAAGGCGCAGTGGTGAGTGGCAAGTGGGAGAGTGGAGAAGTGGTCGTAGCGCCCCAATGCGCGGTCATGCACTGTATGCGGGAGCTTGTGCGGAAGGCGCTGAGCTTGGATGCGAGAACTGAGCCCGCTCGGTTGCGGAAGTGCGTCTATGCAGACTTTGTGCGCGGCCCGTGACGATGATCCTCGGACGTCGAAAGCGGGCGCGCGTTTGCACTTCTGCCGAAGGTGAACGGAGGCTCAAGTGAACAGCTCGGCGGGCCTTTTCGCCCGGTCAATCCACGCGATCTACGCCGTGGATGAACGCTTCAAGTTCTTGAAGCTGTGATGCGTTGATGGCGACCTTGAGCGTTGATGTGGCTCGGCTTCATCGCCGTGGGGCAACTGCTTGACGTTGGATCGCTGGGGTAAGGGAGCCGCGTCTTGTTCGGTCCAGGCTGATGGTTCTGGCGGTCGATGGAAGCGGAGTGATGCAGAGTTCGGATATGCAGTGCGCGGACGATGGTGCTTCAGGGTGAAGTTGCGGAGAGCTGTTCAACTTCGCCGATGGGGAGTGCGAGTGATGGTCAACTTATCGGACTGCGTCAAGTGGGGCTCGGAATGAGGCTGGTTGGTTGTGTGGCGCTGGTGTGGTCGAAATTTCGGCGCTGGAACGGCAGTCTTGCCTGGCTGAGTGTGTGTGTGGCCTGCAAGCTGGGCCGCTTTCGTAGCTCCCGGCGCTGACCAGAGCGCTGCGCTGCGCTGCGCTGCACACCACCACGCAAGCCAGAGTGGAGTGAGCGGTGTTGCTCGAGCCCGGTTCGGTTCTCGGCGAACAACCCTGCATTAAAAAAAGCTCACCCGGATGACGTTAGATTTTTGCGCATGTCTCGAGTGTTAAACCTTAGTGGAGGTCATCCTCACACGTACGAGTCTGGCCTTGAGTCCTGATCACGCGCCTCGTTGGTCGAGGAATTTTCGAGGCTGCGGTTCTGCTGTGGGTCTTTTTTCTTCTTCTATTTTTCGAGAAAGGCAAAGTCAGGCCGGAGTGAAGGGACGCGGAAGATTTTTTTGCTTCAGCGCGAGCCCTTTCTTCCAGTCGGCTGCCTGCGCACGAAACACAAAAGGCGGACGGCTGCGAGGCTGCGCGCTCCCCTTCCAATCCACCATCCTGCCCGTGCTAGCGATTCCCCTTCTTTTCCCCCATCATCGACCGCTTGTATCTTGTTACGAGCGAGTCGATTCACAGACCAAAGTGTAAGTTTCGATAGGCCCTCTCTTCGCTTCACTCTCCAGTGATGACTTTTTACTCCTTTCCCCGGCCTATACGACCATGCCGAGACGATAAGGAAGCTCGTTTCGCAGCGAGCATCTATAATTTCTTTGTGCATGCCAGCACACTTCTGTCTGATGGATCGTTCTTGCACTCAACCATCGTTGCTCACAGCCGTGCTCGGCTTGACGTGACGACGGTTGCAGGGCGAGAACTCTTCGACGCGACCTTGACCAAGACCACGCAACGATGAACATCGCATGCTGACCAGCTCTGCTTTCATCATTGTCTCTTGGACGCTCATAGTCAATCCCTTCCAGATCGAACCTTTGTCCGTGTCCCACGCACTCACTCTCCGCGTGTAAACGTAAGTACGGCCACGACCGACATCATGCACAAGCTCCAGCGTCGATGAAGAAATGAGGTGGCGGGATCGAGGCAGTTCAACGACGAACTAGCAGCCAAGCCTCCGAAGATGATAATCCTGGTATCCAACCAAATTCGCAGTTTCCACTCTAGAACCCTAGCATCCCCTCGTGGGTGGAGCATTTTGGCTCTCCTTGCGAGAGATTCACATGGGATTGCGGCCATCTTCTTCGGAGGAGGTCCACGGCACGAACCCTCCATCGTTCTACTTTGGAGAGCCGGTGTGGCCAGTGCCGCTTTCTCGAATCGTTTGTATCGTCTGGATCGCAGCCGGCTCTGGTTTGATGAGGGTTTGCAGACCTTCCTTGGAAGTCTGAGGGGTATCTTGCTTGGCATCCTCTTTTCGCGTCCATTTCGCATCGTTCATCGACCTGGCTGTCGGCACCAGCAGCAACAAACGCGTACAGCACGCTGACCCTGATTCCTACTCTTTGAACCTTGCGCCGACGCAATCCTGGGCTCCTACCGCAAACAGCCCTTTCTGTACTGTAGATTCACCGCAAGGCGCACCTGTTCTGGATCCCTCCTGCACGGTGCGTACCGAAATTCCGATCCCCTTATGTTGTTGCCTGATCCTCTTCCGGCCAGCTTTGATGCCCTGCTCCGTGCACGAAGCATCTTTCCACACGCTCCTTGACCGGAGAGACGACGTCGGCGAACAGCAAGATGAGCTACTCAAGTATAAACCGATGTGCATTAGGAAGAGCCGTCGTGAGCGGGCGGTCTGCGTGCTCCTTGCCGTCTCACAAGGACAAGCGGACGGAGACGATTTTGTCTGGCGTTGGATGGCTTCGTGCAGAAGATTCTTTTGCGCTTGAGGCCGCGGACGTTGGGCGGCGTCGCTGGAGCTTCGTCCTGAGGTCCTGGCTGATGTCGGGCGAGTCCTATGCGCATCCCTCGCTCGAGCAACTCCGCGGTTGATGGGTCTCCTCTGGAGACTCTCCTGCTTGGCAGCTGCTCACATGAGCTGAGGTTGATTCGAGCTTGGAACCTCGCATCTGGCTGGGATAGGCAAGTTTGAGTGCCGCGCTTCGCAAGGTCGAAAGAATGGTTTCCTGAAATGTCGCCAACGTCGAGCTCTGGTCAAAAGCGCAAGGAAGCGAGGTCGGAAGATGGTCGAGCATCACCCCTCTTTCGAGTCGGGACCGTATACTGACTGTTGATTCCTTGCTCGAACCATCTTCGAACAGACAATGTCTTTCCTCGCACGCAACACGTTTACGCAGGCCAGGTCGGGTCTCTCTCGACAGGCAGCCTCTGCCTCTGCGTGGGGCATTCGCCAGGAATCCTCATCGGCGGCTGCCAAGGCCACCGTGGCTTCCGGTTCTTCGTCGAGCGAGAGTTCCCCCGCGACGCACTACCGAATCACGCTTCGACGCTCTGGCATCGGCATGCCTGACAAGATCAACCGCACGCTGCAAGGACTCGGGCTCAAGAAGCGTCTGCAGTCGGTGTACCGACCGATCGGAGCCGACATGGCGGGTGCCATCCTGGCGGTCAAGGAGCTCGTGCACGTCGAGAACGTGCGACGCCTGGAGGAGGCGGATCAGATGCTGCTCAGCGATGAGGAGGCCGTGTGGCTCAACGAGGCGGGCGAGATCGTAGACCCCGGCAAGGCCGCCAGGAAGGCGCCTCGTGGCTACAAGGTGGTCGGCAACGTCGTGAGCGAGCTGCGCGACCAGCAGATCAAGAATGGCTCGTCGGCATAGAGCATTGCCACGACGACGACGTCGACCTCGCCACGTTCCCGCCCTTCCTTCTCCCGCGACGAGTTGCTCTCGCACTGTATTACTATTCTGTATTCAAATGCATACCCTTCGAGTCCTCTTTGACAGAGCTGCGACTGAGTGCAAGAGCTGCCATTGTGAAGGAAACAGACGAGGATGCTGGTCGGCGACATTCGGAACGGGTACTCTCGTCATGAGCGGAAGCTGGCGTCGCGTGACCAAGCCAGTGCACGAATGCACTGGATCACACAATCCCTTCATCACACTGGCACATGAAAGTGATTCTCAGGTGGCGGCTAGCAATCAATGCATGATGAGGTTCTCGGCTGGCGGTGCGTTTGTATCAGATTGAAGCGGCTATCAGATCGAGTCAAGCCAAGCCAGCGCTGCACGCGTGATTTGCGATGGAAGCGGGCTGAGTCACCCTTTGCGGAGGCATTAGGCTAGCAGCCCTCGTGGCCATGACTGAGAGTGGCCGGGAGGGATCGGAGCTCGGACGCAAATGACACGATCCGCTCGAGGGCCACTCGTTTCGCAACTCGGTCGGACTGCACGCCAAGTGACATCTGGCACAGGTCTCTTCTGCTACCAAAGACGCAGATCAATCGGTGAAAATCACGGCGTTTGACTTTACACGAAACTATGCCATGGCAACAGGAGATTGCAGGGCACGATGAGGCGGCGGGTGCGATTGCTGCATCGAAGTGTGATAAGGCGAGGGCGAGGGCGAGGGCGGGGCAAGCGGGTGCCAGATCGAGCCTCGAGTTATGAGCCTTGGCCGAGGGCGGATGATGCAAGGGAGGACCCTTTTGGGCGGCCAAGAGAAAAGTCGCACCGATGGACGTGGATCTCGCCATTCGATCCGCTCGCGTCAGGCTGTCCGGGGGGACGATAGCCAGCCGAGTGCGCAGACGGATCGCCTGACGTGGACCTGCGAGGCTGCTCGAGATGCGGCGAGGCTCGGCAAGCGGGCCCACTATCCACGAGCAAGGGTTTAGTGGAGCAAGCGAGGCGTAGTGCGCGCGTCAGATCCAAAATCTTGTGACTAGGACTAAGGCACTGCTGTAAGCTTGTTTTGGCGATCGCTTTCGAGTCAATGGCCACTCGAAAGACTTCAACTGGAACCAGACCGCTCCACATGCTGCATTTCGAAGCAAGAGGTGGACGGCGCAGCATGGTCGGGAGGCCCGCTCAAAGGCGACAAGCACTGAACTCAAAAATTACTGCGGAGCCTCTGCCGGGGCGGCAGCGCCGATGAAAGCTTTCATCCCGGTGCAGATGCGACTCGGCTGCATCCACAACTTTGGTAGAGGCCCCGGTCTATCCGGCCGCTTTTTCGACCCCAGCCTGCGTCTCTCCACTTTTTTTTTGACCTATTTTTTTGTGGAGCTCTCGCGATTTCATGCTGCCTTGCGCCACTGAGCTTGAGTAGGCGAGTAGGCTCAGGAGCGGTTGCGCTCAGCTGCGCGTCCCTACCGTGATAGCGGGATCACGCCGATTAACGCACCGAGACAAGCGCTCATCCGCCGCCCGCCGCCCGCAGTCTGCCGTCCGCTAGGGTTGCCCGTGGCGGCCCGAGTCATCGCGTGTGTTTTGCGTGAGTTGCGAGCACCCCCGCCTTTTGTGACTAGGATCGCGTGCGGATACGCTAGCGCTTAGGCAGCAGGGCAAGGCGCAGTCATTCGTGATTGCCCCCCTCGCTCGGATCGCACTCGCAGCAGCACGCCCGCAGCGAGCTGCCCACACGCATCAAACTCCGGCGAGCACGACAGACCGCGTCAGTCCGCGACAATCCGCGTCACAACTAGCAGCTCTCCGCTGCTCAACGCTTTGTGGGTGCGTGTGTGCGGGCGGCATTGAGTCAGACTGCAGCCGGCTGCACACGCGTGGCTGCATCGCATCGCCTTGGACCCTGTAGACATAGATAACCTAGCCCCACCTCCCTCAACCTGATCGCCCCCTCCTTATTCCCACCTCCTTCTGCCTTCCACCATCATCCCATTCGCAACAACCTCACCTAGGCTCTTCTCCAACCTCCATCACCACCTGCAACCTTTGTTTGCCAGTGATTCGCCCTCATCAGCCCATCTTGCAAATCCAGCCTTATCGCCACCCATCCCTGCCACTATGCTCGCCTAAGCCAGCTGACAGGCCTCCTATCGCGACCTTCGCGCCTTGACCCCCGTTGCTTTCCCCTCTCTGTACGCTTGTTTCCGGCTTCTTAGCTGGGACCGTCTTGATACGATCCGCCTCCTCATCATGGATGCCGGTCCTCACCATCGCCCTCTGGGAGATTAAGCGCCCCACCCTCGCGGGCTTCTCGTCCGACTCGCAACAACTCGACAATACACTCCACCCATCGTCTCATTGACCTGACAATCCCTGCACCCATCCCTGTACTTTCCTGGCCCCTGCCCTCGTTATCGTTCGACCCCATAACGCATCCTATCACAATGAACCGTCAGCCAGATAGCGATCTGCCCGGGCTCGGCAGCCCCGGCAGCCTCAAGGCTGTCTTCGGCAGCTCACATGCTCGAGACTCGGATTTCATGGACGACTTTGTCGACGAGATCCTGCCCGACTTCATGCAGACCTCCATCTCGGCATCCATCGCCACATCCGGACGCCGCTCCCGCCTGGATGAATCCGCAGGAGAGGGCCTCCGCAGGAATGTTCTACTGCGCAACGCCATGCTCTCCAGCCTTGAGCGAGAGCGCCGCCAAACAGAAGTAGAGCTGCGAGGCTCCAACGTCCCTACATCTCTGGCTTCAAAGGAAACTTCTGTGGATGATGCCATTGCCAGCACTCTTATGGACGAGGAAGCGCAGTTCTTTGAAGACCTGCTCAGCGAGCTCACGGGCTCCGACAGCATTGATCCCCCAAGCTCCGTCCTCGAGCTTCCAGCATCAAGTAGCGACGCACTTCGCTTTGCTCCACACGAATCTGCTTTGGCCGTCAAGCAAGACGACGGTGAAGAAGACTTTATCGAGCTCGAGGCGGAAACAGAAGTCCAATTCGCCTCAACTCCCACGAGTTTTCCGGCGGATCGAGGGTCTCTCAGCCTGGACCTTCCTGTTCGGACGCTCAATGACTCTTGCTCGAGTGCATGCTCAGCGTTGGCTGCTGGCTCAGACTCTGGCTTTGCAGAACAGACTTCGCGCCCGCCATCCGTCGCCAGCTGCTGCACTGGCTATCCTCACGTATGCCCGTATCCTGCCATCTCTGGATGCAGCGCTGCCTCATCGGAGGAGCTGCCCGCTTTAATCGATGATGACAGCGATCTCGAAGAGGACGAAGACGAGGTAGAGGAGAGAGATGCGGCCGCGTTCGATGTCGGTGCCGATGCCGACGCAGCGGTCGTAGCCGCCGCCGATGCCGACACGTCGCGGTCGCGACCTCTGTCGCCAATCCTCTCGCCTGTCCACTCGGTCTTCCTGGATTGTACGAGCCTGCGCGATCAACTTTCGCCAGAGTCGTCTCGGCCAACTTCGCCGATCTCTAGCGCATCGTCCAAGGGCGACGGCGAAGGGCCGAGCCCGCTGCTGATTGCGTCGGAGCTAGGCGCACTCCCGTCGCTCGCCGAGCTGTCGCTGCAGCCTCACATCCTGGGCCGGCCGCCTCGCCTGCTCACGTCGGCGTGGTTCGAGACCAAGGCAGAAGCATCGGGCGGTGCAAGCACGAGCGCCGAACGCATGCGCTGGACCTCGGCGCCCGCCACCCATCTTCGGTCGCCACCGACCGTGCCGGACCTTGTTCCCAATAGACCGGGGCTCGCCCCGCACCGCAACATTGCGCCGTTCCAGCCGCCGCACACCGACGCCAATGACACCTCGATCGTGGTTCATTGGACGCGATAACCCCCCTTTGTTCTCCTGTTGATACCACTCGTCCCGTCTGAATCGTTCCGCCTTGTTTGCATTGTTCTCTCCTCGCAGTCTTGTTCCTCCGCATGGTATGGTTCCTTCTCGCAGTCTTTATTTCACCAGCACATACTCTTAGGTCGCGGTTTTGGTTCACTGTGTAATGTATTTTTCTGCCTTGTGTATCGAAGGCATGCAGGTGGGATGGAGATGATGGGGGCCATTAAGCAATGTCGTTGAGCTGGATCTCGGTGTCGAGGAAGGTGTAGTCGGCGTCGACTTCCTGGAGCCAATCGTCGTCGTCCTGGAAGTTGGCTGCCGGGTTTGCGTCGTCGTCATCGTCGTCGTCGGGGGGTGATGGGGGGTCAGGTTGGTGAAGGTGAAATCGGGCGTGTGGGTTGAGGGTGGGATGTTTGGGTGCAGACGAGGTTGGATGGAAGATGTTATCCAGCAGACGTTTGTTTGTGTCTTTGGAGGATGGCAGTTGGACGGGTGAGAGGTGGAGACCTGCAAGGGCGGTATTTGGTTCTGGTTCCGGCGTGGTTGCGGTGACCGAGGTGGTAGTGGTTTGGAGCGAGTTGAACATTGCGTATGCGTCGTCGTCGTCCTCGCCCAGCTGGGGTGCAGGCTGCGTGCATCGACCGTACAGCCGGTATGGTTGGATCGAGATCTTCCTACCCCCGCTGCTGCCCTTGCGAGGGGAGGCGTCATCGTCGGACAACTCCACCTCGCGTGTTTGTCGCCACCCAACACCGCCAGTCGGACTACTGCTCGCAACTTGCTTGCGCGAAGAGGGGCGGGGGACGCTGCTGGGAAGCGTGATTTCCGTGTGTGGCGATGACTCGCCCCGACGCATTGGGCTTGATGACGCACCGAGATCGTCGTCGCAATCGCTCGAGGGCAGGATGGGCGCCGATCGCGTCTTGGACTTCTTGGACGCAGCGGGAGAGAGCTGGCGAAGTCGACGACGACGCTGAACTTCGGCGCCGAATAAACCGCCCGCTGGACCGGCATCGTGCATCACCGCGTCCTCGTCCGCATCGCCCGTGCTACAACTCGTCGGTGGCGCGAGAATATCGACGGGTGCGTGGCTAGAGGGCGAGGCGAACAGCGGGCGGAAACCGGGCTTTCCACTTCCCCTGCGTGCCACAGCCTTGACGGGCGAAGCGTCCAACACATCTTCATCATCGGACATCTGTGCTGGCACCACTGTGCGTGACGGAAATGCCGAGGCGGGCGCAGGCATGGTGGGGGCCTTGCGCTGCGTCGCGAACCCGAACGCGGCGAGTCCGCGTTGCGCTGGACGTGGATCCGTGCCCGCGCGCCCACCTGCCCGCGCCGGGGTAAGCGGCACGTCTTCCCCCCTCAACCTCTTGCGTGCCTTTGTGCGCGGCGTATACGCGACCAGCGCGCTCTTCAGCGCCGCATCGCCGTGGGCGCGTACAGGCTTGGTGGGCGTGAGTCTCGATGCAGCCGCTACCGCCGTGCGCAGCTTACTTGGGGAGGCCGTCATGTACTGCTGCTGCTGCGAGGCTGTGCGGAGCGGCGGTTTGGACGGCGTAAAGGCGTGCGCGCGCTGCGACGCCGTCAGCAGCGGCGACCGCTTCGGTGTCATCTCGACATCCACCAATGACCCAGCCGGACTCGCTGGCACGGACGCAGCGGCGCGTCGGGACGGCGTCGCGAACGGGTTCTGCCGAGGAACGTTCTCCTTCTGGCTGGGCGACGAGCGCTTCGTCGGTGTGCGGAACGGATTCTTGGAGGGCGAGGCGCCCGCCTGCGCCGTGACCTTACGCTTCGACGGTGTCCTGACCACATTGTCATCGAGCGTGCTCTTGGAGCTGGATGCTTTGGTGCTCGGTGGCTCAGACCGCTTGCTGGACCGCGGCTTGGCGGTGGCGTCGCCGCCTACGGCCTGCCAGGTTTCGTAGGTGCCCGAGATGTTGTCATCGGCGAGGATGTCGCGCTTGGTGGGGTCGCGACCATGGCGCTGCTTGAAGGCGCGCTGCCATATCTTGAGCTCGCGCCGCAGAATGTGCTCCATCGTCTGCGGCTGCGTGCAAGCGTGGTGTGAGGCCAAGTGTGGGTGATGTGGGTGATGATGGATTGAGAAGAGCAGCAGGATTGCGAAAACGTTGGCAGGACGGGGCTTGCAAAGTGGAGCGGCGGAGTTGCCAATCACCAAATCTACGCGTCGCGCGTCAAGAGGCAGCGCGGCGGTTCAGCGCAATTTGTTAGATCGGAGCAGGTTGGGTGTGGGGTCAGGGCTGCCATTCATAGATTGCATCCCGCCGACTGGAAAGGCACAGCCGGCCCAAAGGAATGGGCGGTCACGAGGCTTGCGATCAAGGAAGGGTAATCGTCCTCGCACCCATTCAAGCGAGCGTTTGTCCTGCGGTGACAAGATCTTGCAGCCCCGGAGTTTAGGGAGGTGCGGTACATAAGCGCGACTCCGCGTTTTTGGCGAGCTGGAAAAGCAGACTCTGGACCCTGCGCATGTCATGGACGGCAAAGGACCGTGTTGGCAGGCATGGATGCTCAGCTTGAGCTCGAGGCGAGCTCCTCTCACCTTGGCACTGTCTGCGTGCCCGACTTGCCCGCGCAGTTGCGCACGGGCTATATAGCCGTGTCTCCCGCCCTCCGAGTTAGCTCTCGACGGCCTCCTGATCTCCGCCCATCATCCGCTCGCCGGTGGTGATCGTGAACGAGCTGCAGTCATGGCAATGCCACACGAGTGGCACGCGGGCGAGCTGTACATCCAGTCGCAGCTCGGGTACAAGGATGCCGTCGCAGGCGCGCACCCGACCTTCAAGCCGCAGCTCACCGTCCAGCATCAGCAGTTCCACGCGCGGCTCAACATCCTACCCGTCTGCACGCTCGACGCGCGCGGCCGACCGTGGGGATCGTTCCTCGCAGCCAAAGATGGCCAGCACGGCTTCATCTCCTCGCCCTCTTTGACCACGCTCATCGCGAGCCAGATGAAGCTGCACGAGCACCATCCGGTGGAGATGGCATTGACCGAGGGCGCCAAATTCGGCATGACAAAGCTCGTCACCAACGACGATGGCGACTACCAGGGACCGGCGCTCAAACTCATCGCCGGCGTCGGTGTGATGTTCGAGAACAGGCGCAGGAACAAGCTCGCAGGATTCATCAATGAGCGCAACACGGGATCCAGGGAGGAGCGCACGATTCAGGTCGAGGTCATGGAGAGTCTGGGTAACTGCCCCAAGTACATCAACAGCCGCAGCCTGGTGCCCAACCCGAACCACAGCCCGAAGATGCTCCACAAGAATCTGGACCTTGCGCCTGGCCAATCTCTTCCCGAAGAAACACTTCAGAACATTGCTCGGGCGGACGCAGTCTTCCTTGCGACGCGCTACACGAGTCCCGTGCAGACCATCTTCAAGTCGCATTTGGGCATCAACATTCGTGGCGGCAAGCCAGGCTTCGTCCGTATCAGCGCCGAAAAGGTTGCTCGCAGCAGCGGAGAGACCGAGCTGCGCCAGGTGGCGTATCTGCCGGACTACTCGGGCAATCGCTTCATGAGCTCGCTCGGCAATGTGCACTCGGACAAGGTCGCCGGTATCACCATTCCGCTCATGCGCAAAGGACAGCCCATCGACGTCGTCTACCTCACCGGCGATGCAGAGGTGCTGATCGGAGAGCAGTCCACGTCCATCTTCCCTGGCGTCCGAACGTGTGTCCGCATCGAACTGACCGGGTTCATGCACGTGCAAGACGCTGTGCCGCTGATGCCGGACGACTTCGACCCTTCGCAGGGCGTCGAAGACTTTGAGCACAAAGGCGACGACGGCATCGGATGGAGTCCGTACAATCCGCCCGTGCGTCGGCTTCGGTCCGAGTTGTCATCTGCACCTGACAACAGTTCCGACCAGCAGTCAGCCGGGAATCATGCAAGTATAACAGCGTTCGAGCAACATACTCCGGATCTCGCTACGATCAGCTTCAAGCTATCGCAGCCGGTCAGGTATCGCGCCGGACAGCACATTATCCTCGACTGTGGCTCGCTGCTCGACGCCGAGGTCAAGGAGTACAAGCACATGTCGGACAAATTTGGGGGAGAGCAAGAGCTCAACGACACGGGCATGCGGACCTGGACCATCAGCTCTGCGCCGACGTCGCCTAGTAGCCCGCAGGACACGGTGAGCATCACCATGCGCAGGGTCGACAAGGGCTTGGTCACGCCCAAGATCTTCGCAATCGCAAGGCAGGCGAGCGCTGGCAAGTCGGCGGGAGAGCTGCCGGTGCTGGGGCTGGGCGGCGACTTTGTTCTACCGACCAAGCTTGAAGCGCAGACCAAGCTTTTGTGGATCGCATCGGGAGTGGGCATCACACCTTTCCTCTCGTTCCTAGCATCGCTGCGGGCTTCGACCGAGAGCGTTAAGATCGACCTGACCATGATCCTCGCCGTGCGCAGGGCAGAAGCTGTCGCCATGCTCACCCTCGTCCGCCAAGCGTTGGAATCGGGCCCTTCATCATCGTTCTTGAACGGGACGCTGAACCTGCACGTCGTCTCTGCTGGCGTGCAAGACTCGGACCTGGGGGCTAGCACGACTGTTGGCGGCTTACAAGTCAGCGTCACAAAGCACAGCCAGCGACTTGATCCCGAGCTCTTGCTGTTCATCAGTGGCACCGAGGCTGAGGGTGCGGACAAGCCGGAAGCATGGGTGTGCGGTCCCGCGTCGCTCGAGGCTGTGGTGATGCAAACGTTGCAAGATGCAGGTTGGCCCGCTGACAAGCTGCATCGCGAGTCGTTCTCCTTCTAGCTAGCGTGTAATTCAAGGGCTCCTTCAGATGTGTTCCTGACATGCTTGTTCTCTTGCGAAAGGATCAGAAGGCCGGAAGGATGGTCCAAAGCCAGGGTCTGTCTCGTGAGCTGTCTCGCAAAGTCGCCTTGTGGAGCGGGCTGGATTCGGCTGGGAAATCACATTTTCTTCCCACCCTGACAAGTCACAATTCTTGCAAGTCGGGAT